AAATAATCTTTGTGAAAAAGCAAAAGCGAACACGCAAACGCCCAACTCAAGGCCGGGGCGCGACATTCGATTTAACAGAAATGGCTGTTTTCACACTAGAGACGGATTATTCGTGCGAGACGGGTTATACGTTTGATGATTCGCGTCAGATAGGTAATACGTCTTAATTTGAAAATGGAATAGTTTTAATTTTGAATGAACATTCCGCTAGACTTTATCCGTCAATTTCGATGGACAGTTTGAAGACGGGATTATCCGTTCCAGATAGTCTGTCTACAGCCGCCCCCTCCCCTCATAAAAAATCGGAGAAGGGGTGTGTGGGGGGAGGGCTCGACTGTATACAGGCTAGTCTCAGACGGATAATCCATTTCTAGCTCTAGCGTGAAAACGGCCAATAACAAAGTGCTCGTGTCCAGTGTTTTTAATGATAGCGAAGGACTGTACGGAACGACTGTCTGCCGTTGCCTTGTCCGTAGACCTCATTATTCTGCGCGGCTAATACGTTTCGGGTCACGTGGTCCTAGCGAGTTCGCCACCGAAATGCCTTGACCGAGATTGCGTGGGTAGACGCCGTACAGGGACTAGGCATGGCAATATCTATCGTAGCGTCAGAGAAAAACAGGGAAATGTTGCTTATCGGCAACTTGTTTTACAAACAGTGACATCTCTGCGTGTTGTTTTACTAGTGTTTCGAGGGCACGACCTCCTGAAAATCGCAAATATTAATCCCCAGCAAGAAGCCACACTTTCGCTATGGAAAAAAATTAGTTCCCCGAGAGAGTGGCGGAAATGGAGCCTAGGTTTTGGTCAACACCTAAAAGGCGCTTCGCCTAACGTGCGTACGGAGTCACACTAGCCAGGAAATAAAAAACGCAACCATAAGTGAGTTTTGTACCTCCCTTAAAAGCAGCAAATCTAGGGAACAGTTTCTTTTACGGTTAACTCTTTTTTACTCTATTTACGGCTAACGGTTAAAATTTTTCAATTTTTACGGCTATCGACTAAATTTTTGGCCGTTTTACGCCTATCGGTTAACCCCATTTAGACCCTCTTTTATGGTTTACAGGTGGATGGGCTATAACTTGGAGGGCATATGAGGGGCGGGAGGTGGGGGGCGGGGGGGAGAGAAAGAGAGAGCTTATAAGCGGCATTTTACGGTATTTCTTATAGTAATAATAGAGGCCATATATACAGTAGAAACTCGGTGACCCGAACAGTCAAGTTAGCGGGTTCCAGTTATCGGGCCGGTCGATTATGCATTATTATTCTGATGATCTGGTATGACTTGTAAGACCCTAATATGTTGCAAAAACCATAATTCGAGTTATCGGGGTAAAGTTTTTTGATCAAGGAAAACGAAATTAAGTTCGAGATGGCGAGGAATTCGAGTATTGGTCCGAGTTCAAGCTAAGTAACCGAGTAAAATCCAAGGGAAATGGGACATGATAGTTCGAGTTAGTTACCGAGGCTCTACTGCATTGTCAATAATTTCCAATGCGAAATTAGTGGGTCCCCAATTAGTCCCCGTAATCCTGACCTATAAACCCACGGATCCGTAACTCCAAAAGTTATTTTTGGCATCCCATCTCCCGCGCATACTTTCAATCCCGAATCTCGCCCCGATTTTGCTTTAAAATCGCGAGTCCCGAGCTTCAAAGAACGGAAATCCCGGAATCAAATAAAACGCCAAACATAATTCGCTACCTAGCACTCACATAGATTGTGTCCTGCATGTATATCTTTGTAACCGCCTCAAATTTTTAGAAATTAGCGAATCCGAATACCCAAAATATCATAGATCCCGGAACATAATTCATGAATCCGCCAGCAGCCGACTTACGCCAAGTCTGCGCTCTCAGCTATAACTGAAACCAAAAACCAAACTTTAAGGAACGGAAAATATTTCTCATATAAATCTGAAATTAAGTCAATCTCAATACTCTATCAGATGAAAAAGACTCATCAGAATGATCGACTGTCACAGTAATTATGAGTATAAACTTGAAAAAATCAGCCGTGAACTCAGAAGAATCTACTAACCTTTCAGTGTAGTAACGTAGTGCGTTTGACAAATTGTTGCAAGCAGACGCAATCCCCGAGGTGGCTCGCCGTAGTCTTGCTTATCGCTCTCTTGTTAACAGGGCTCTCTATTCAGCTCAGTCGGCGCAGCGAATATAAAATGACTTCTTGTTGCTGATTGCTAAGCTCACTGAAGATTCTTTATCCTATAGTTTCTAAGATCAGCTCAGTCATGCATGCAGTTCGGCCGTATGTGACTCTTTGCCCAATCGCGAGACGTATTTTAGGAAAAGCGGTTTCCCCTTTGCTTGCACCTGCACCTGCACCTATCCGTAGTCAAGGTGACCGTTATGATAAAACCGCGGTCCTTATTCCTACGCAGAAAGCTATCCACCATATAAAACATAAAGAAGCTATATTATGTTTGTTATATAGAATGAGTATTATAGACAATGAACTAGACGGGTAAACCTAAACAACACTGATTGTGCAGCACTGATACTTTGT